TGCAGGGCGGGGCGCGTGCGTGGGGTGCGGGTGGCGGGAGGGCGCCCCGGGACCTGCAGACCTGGGCGGCTCCTGGGCCGTGGAGAGCGGTGCAGCAGTCTCTCGCCTAGCCCTCTGCTCGCTGGGCAGGCCTGTGCTACCCATACGTAGCACAGGGAAGGGCAAGGGGTGAGGGGAGGCGGGAGGCTGTGTCTCCAAGGGCTGGGTCGGGGAGGCCCTCCCATTCGGCCCAGAGCGCTGACTTTTGACCGTGGCCAGACTCCCCTAACACTCCGCGGACGCCCCGGCCTGGCCTCGGGGATTGCGGGCAAGGTCTGGAGGTTGGGGGGTTGCCGGCCACAGTAGGTCTGCGCGCTTGTGTCCAGCCTGGGTGGGAAGTCTGTGCCGCTGGTCTGGGCGTCCCCACACCCTCACGGCTCGTCCCCACCCTGGGTGGCAGGCCTGCCATGGAGCCAGGCAGCGTGGAGAACCTGTCCATCGTGTACCGGAGCCATGACTTCCTGGTGGTGAACAAGCACTGGGACGTGCGCATCGACAGCAAGACATGGCGGGAAACACTGACTCTCCAGAAGCAGCTGCGGCACTGCTTCCCGGAGCTGGCCGACCCTGACACCTGCTACGGGTTCCGGTACTGGGGAGGGCGATGGGGCCCCCGCGGCATCTGCCGAGGGAAGTGGCTCGGACGCCAGCCTCCCCCTAAAGGCCATTGGAGAGGCTTCTCAGCCACCCCGTCCAGCCCCACTGACCTTCTGCCCCACTCAGGTTCTGCCACCAGCTGGACTTCTCCACCAGCGGAGCACTGTGCGTGGCCCTGAACAAGGCAGCCGCGGGTGACGCTTACAGGTGCTTCAAAGAGCGACGTGTAACCAAGGCTTACCTGGCGCTGGTAAGACCTGGTCCTCCCCGGGTGCGACATGGGGACTCAGGACCCCCAGCTTACCAGGGCAGGCCCTTCCATGCCTCACATGACGGCCCCATGTCCCAGCAGTGGCAGGCTGCCCTGGAATCTGCATGTGATCCCCCTTGCCTTGCAGGTGCGAGGGCACATCCAGGAGAGCCAGGTGACCATCAGCTATGCCATCGGCAAGAACAGCACAGAAGGCCGGGCCCATACCATGTGCATCGAGGGCACACAGGGTGCGGTGGGCAGGGCAGGGTCACAGAGCACACATCGGCCGGTGAGGTCCTCTGGGCACCCAGGCTGCCCAGCTGACCCCCCTGCCTTCCACACACCAGGTTGTGAGAACCCAAAGCCAAGCCTCACGGAGCTGGTGGTTCTGGAGCATGGGCTGTACGCGGGTGACCCTGTCTCCAAAGTGCTGCTAAAACCGCTCACAGGTGCGTCTGGGACTGGCGCGGAGCCATGTTGTTTGCCAAGGGTCACCCCGAGCATCAAGATGGAGGTGATACCACCCCACACAGTCATCCCCATTTTCATGCCCTGTAACCTCCCATCTGCCCATCAGATGCCGGAGGGCTCCAGGGCAGGGCGAGCACGTGGGGTGCAGGTAGCGAAAGGGTATCCCCCTGTACCTGACAGAGCTGGGTGGCTTCTGGACTGTGGGGGGGAGTACAGCCCTTTGCCCACTCAGCAAAAGGCCCTGTGCTGCCCATAATCCAGTGGGAAAAGTCTGGGGAATGGCCTTTCCTGTTGGGGATCCCTGCTGGCCTCTGAGCCCAAGGGCATCTTGCTGACTTGGGGTCTGCAGCCAGACTGAGCACTGCCCTCACCAGGGGTGACCTAGAAGCCGTCTCCTGTCCTGAGCCCTGACATCCTGGTTTCTAGCAGGGGACAGGGCGGGTCCTGCCCAAGGCCTGGCCACTAGGTTCCACGGCCGCCATGGGGTAGATCGCCAGTGGTGACGTGGGATGCATGGGGGTTAGCAACCCCCACCCCAGCCTGACCCGCCACATCCCTGCCCACAGGCCGGACCCACCAGCTGCGTGTGCACTGTGGCGCCCTGGGCCACCCTGTGGTGGGTGACCTGACCTACGGGCAGCCTGCAGGCCGGGAGTCCCAGCCCTTCCGCATGATGTTGCACGCCTTCTACCTACGAGTCCCCACACGGGCCGAGTGCGTGGAGGCTTGCACGCCAGACCCCTTCCTGCCTGCCCTGGACACCTGCTGGAGCCCCCACACCCTCCTGCAGCCACTCGACCCACTCATCCAGGCCTTGCGGGCTGCCCCCGACCCCAACCCCATGGACGAGGGTCCTGGGCACAGCCAACCCCCACCTCCCTGCACCAAGCCCCTAGAGACTGAGGCACAGAGCACCTCCTGCTTGCAGTGGCTGTCAGAATGGACATTGGAGCCAGACAAGTGACAGCCGTGGAGCTGGGGCAGAGGTGGATGTGGGGGCTGGGGCTTTTAGGGGGTTGGGGGCTGCACGTCAGGGCCCTGGGCTGCTCCCAGGCAGGTGGCATCTCTCTTGGGCAGGCATGCAGTGGCCAGCTCTGGGACTCACTGGGCTGCTCTGACCAAGCCAGCTGGGATAGGCAGCAGGGGCTACCTGGCAGCTGCGGTTGCTGGCAACAATAGCACACACGGGCAGTGGGATTGATGCTGGATCCTAAGGTTCTTCTTCCTGGTGCCCCCAGGGGGAACCAAGGCCCTTCTTTCCTCCTGGAGCAGCTTCCGGCTCCAGAGCCTTAGCCAGGGGCCTCTATTTCATGGACTTGTCCAAGGTCACTCGTTGGAAGGGGCAACACCCAAGTTGGCTAGTCTCTGGCCCAAGGGTGGACTCCTCATGGGCCCAGGCCATGCTAGCCTTCCTGGGGCTCAGCCCCAGACCCACCTAGCCTCTGTGCCTGGAGGCTCCCGCTCATTGCTCTGCTCAGACCCCCTTGCTTCTGCTGCCTGCCTGGCCTGTGCCTGCCACTGGGCCCGCATACCCCTCCCTACCTCATGCCTTGGCTTTGCTGGACTCTGCCCACGGGCCTCACCCTGCTCTGCCTGGACCCTGAGCACGGGCCAGTGATTGGCCATGGTACATGGGGTCAGTGGGGGCCAAGACTCAGGCCCTGCTGAGCTCCCCTGTCCCTTAGGCCTGCCTAGCATGCCACCCTGCTGCTGGGTCCCCAGGCTCCCAGCCTAGAGCCCACCACATCACCACTTTCCTGGGTCCCATACAGTCATGCCTGTCACTCTGCCTTCAGGAGCCTAGGTTCCCAGTTCCCTCCACCACAGCCCTGCTCCCTGACAGCTGCTGGGCTCTAGGGATTCAGAATAAATGCTTGGTGACTGACCCTGGGATCGGCTGTGATTGTGTTTGGGGTGGGGTCCCAGGAGATGAGTCTGGATGCCCAGCCCCCTCCCCACACTCCATAGCCCCCGCCCCAAGGTCACCTTGCCAGGACCCAGGACAGGCTATGTAGCCTGACTGTGGACCTCCCACAGGCAGTGAACCCCCTGAAGCCCTGGTGTGGGGACAGAAGCTAGGCAGCCAGTCCCGGAAGAGCCCAGCCCAAAGTGCTGTACACCCAGCCGGTCTTCACCAGGGCCCTTCCTACAACTCTGGGCCCCCAAGGGAGTGTTGCTCCAGCCAACAATGGATTGGGTCATGTGGCTGTGGGCCACCCTCCTCTGTAACAGCTCCTGGGCTGGGCCCTGCCTGGGCAGGACCTCAGCAGGGCAGACCGGAGGCAGCTGCCCGCCAGGCCCTCAGCTGACACCCAGGTTCAAGCCCCCACAATTCCCATGGCAGGGACATAGGGCCCCAGGCCACTGCTGCTGCTTCCTGAGTCTCACTTTCCTCATCCATAAAGAGAGGACTGGAGTGAAGGAGAGATCAGCTGCCCTTCAGCGATGCCCACAGATGTTACAGTCCATATGTCCTGGGTGCTCCTGGGGTGCCTAGCTGGGTCCTGCTTGTCCAGTCCTCAAACTTGGACCTGGAGTCCTCAAACTTGCCCTGCTACCTCCCCACGCAGACCCTATGTCTCCAACTCCCCACCCCCTACATCCTCATCGCCCCCACATCCCCACCTCCCCACCCACATGGATCCCCACATCCCCTCCTCCACTCCCCGGCATCCCCACCCCCAGTCCCCACCTCCTCATGCACCCTAAGGTGAGCCTCGTGATCTGTGCTGGCCCTGGAGTGTACCTGCCTCCCAGACTAGAACCCTGTCCCAGCCCTCACCACAGGACCCTGCCCCTCTGGTCTCAGGCTACCCTACCTCATTGCCCCTAACCTCAGCCAAGGATAGCTGTTGGAGCCACTGTATCCAGCTGAGCTGGTCCAGCTTGTGGCCAGGGGTCCTTCAAGGCTCACCCCGAGCTGGACAGGACTCTCTGGACGAGCCAGGCCATGTGAGCTCTGGCCCCCCACACGCCCTTCTTTGCATGTCTGCGTGGACCTCTCAGGGGACACCTGGACTCCTGTGGGACCTATCCAGGGACTGGGGAGTGGTCATGTGCTGGTCCTTCCGGCTGTCACCCCACAGTACCTGGGTCTCAGCGGGCCGTGGGGCTGGCTCCCTGAGCACCCATGACTCGGATGTGGATGGTCATCTTGCAACCACTGAGCCTGAGCTGCAGGGACCCTGAGCCCCCAGCTCCACCGAGCACGGATTGATCTTCCCAAGGTGAGAGCCAGAGGTGGGTGGCCAGGGCCAGCGATCAGCCCGGGCACCCAGCACCCAGCAGGAAGAGAAGTTCTGCAGGCACCGGCACTCCAGTCCAGCAGACAAGTTGCGAAGTCTCCTGTAGTCTCCCTTGGAGGCCTGCCTGGTTGAGTGGCCTCCGCCCAGGCCCTACGTGGTTGATAGCAGTGACATTGCTAGGGATGTGGCTACCGCCGTAGGACCTGGAAGGGAACAGGGCTGTGTGCAGCAGTGTTCCCCTGGCATATGCCCCTACACACCGCTGCCCACAGTGCACATAGCACCCACCCTCTCTGTGCTCCCACACCCATAGAACAGCCACAGCTGCCACGATGCCCAGCCACCACATTGAGTCCAAATGTGCCTGATGGGCACATGGACCAGGTGAACCAGATATGCATGTGCGTGCTGCTGAGCACACATGCAGGCATACAGCGAATGCGGGCATGTACCTGACCCCTGGGCTGCAGACGCTGCCAGGTGAGGTCCCTGGAGGAGGGGTGTGTGCTGGATGGCTGCCAGCCGTAAGCCTAGCTTCTCGGGGTGGGGAGCAGGTGCCTGCTGTGCCTGGGGCTCCCAAGGGCTGACACGACTGCATCACCTGGCACAGCCCCAGCCCTCCCCACTCCCTGGCGAGTGTCACTGCAGGAGTGAGGTGGGGCCAGGCAGGGCAGTCTCGTGCAGCCCTCTGGGCCAGGCATGGAGGTGAGCAGAGAACCCGGCGCCCCACCCTGCACAGCCCTGCACTTGGTACCCAGCTGACGAGCTGACTGCGATCTGGGATTGCGGTGTCTGGAGCGTCTGGTCTACACCTCCTGCATCTGATGGCACGGGTGGCCAGGCAGCACCTCCCGTGTTCCTGCTCAGGTGAGGGGGCAGGGCAGGGGCCGCTCCCCCGCAGAAACTCCAGGAGTCTGGGCCCCTGAGCAGGTGTGCTTGAGCTCTGCATCCCCGTGGCCCCCGTGGCCTCTGCGGCCCCCACACAGGGCCACCTCTATCTTACTTTGGCCATATGCAGTCTGGAGGCCCGGAGGTGCCCAAGAGCTATGGACTCGAGCCAGGTTGTGCCCAAGAGGAGGCCTGGCAGCCCCGGTCGGGCCTGTTCCCAGGCCTCACAGCTCGACCTCCAGTGTGGCTGATGCTGCCCAGGGCTGCCGCATGGGGTCAGGTCTCAGGGACAGAGCCCGGCATCTGGGACCCAGGTAGAGGAGGAGGCTGTGCCAGGCAGTGAGGAGCCCACCAGCCTTGGCCTGGACCACCTGCGGGATGTGCTGTTTATCAAGAGACCTGTTCATTGGAGTTGCTGCAACCATGGGTCCCCTGAGCCCCTACTTGTAATAAGAAAGACCTGGCTTAGGCCCGCCCTGCCCTGCACTCCCTTTTGTTCCAAAGTCGGTTGTTTGTGGGATTAGTCTCCTCCCTCCAGGCAGGACTGACTGTAGCCCAGGGCTGCATCCTGTGTGACCTGTGGGGCCAGCCTGTCACCTCCCCACCCCTTGCATCCAGTCCTGGACCCTCAGCCGGCAGCCCCGTTGCCTTCCTGCCCTGGGACGTCTCAGCTAGGACGAATACACGTTGCAGACATGGGCCCCAGAGTGGGTGAGGGCCTCCCCTCCATGTGGCAGGGGAGGGCTCCCAGGTGGCAGGCCCATGTGCCCACCTGGCAAGACCCGCCATTGAGCTGCAGACAGGCTGCTCGATGCTCGGCCCCCTGTCCTGAACCCACACTCAGGGCTTGCCCCAAGCAGAGAGAGGGAGGATGGCGCCCCTCTCGGCATGCAGGGGAGGCCAGGCAGTGCCCACAGGCCTATGAGCCCAGCCATCCCCAACAGAGCCCAGGGTCATAGTAGGCACAAGGCAGGGACAGGGAGCTGGCCCAGGCAGCCAGGCGTGGCTCCTGGGAAAGTCGGGGCATGAGGGGGGGACAGAGTTCTCTCAGGTGGCCCCAGCACAGGTAGATCCAAGCTCTGAGGCGGGGCAGGGGGACCCTGGCTGCCTGCATGGCAGAGCCTCAGGGATGCTCGCTGTCCAGTGACTCGTTTTCCCCAAGAAGGTCAGGCCTGGCCCCAGCAGCCTGGGAAGTCGTGGCTAGAGGCCAGAGGCCACATGGGCCGTGGCCAGTTTCCATCATGGCTAACGCCCCTTCCATGGGTCCTTTTTTTTTTATTTTTTTATTTTTATTTTTTGAGTTGGAGTCTCACTCTGTCGCCCAGACTGGAGTACAGTAGCCGCTCCCAGCCACCACAGTCTCGACCTGCTGGGCTCCGGCGATCCTTCCGCCTCAGCCTTCCTAGTAGCCGAAATTACAGGCGCGCGCTACCACACCCGGCTGATTTTTTTATTTATTGTAGAGATGAGGTCTCACTGCCCAGGCAGGTCTCGAACCCGTGGGCTCAGGCAATCCACTCACCTCAACCTCCCAAAGGCATGGGATTAAAGGCTGAGCCACTGAGCCCGGCTCATGGGTCCCTTTTGATGTTGGAGAAGAGTTTGCTAGATGGACAGCCCAGGGAAGCAAGATGAGGGGGCTACCCTGGACCTGAGCCCCTCTTCCTGGGCTGGGTTTCCTGGGGAAGACCATGGGCCAGGCCTCCAAAATGCTCTGGGAGGGCCTGCCGTAACCCCACTGCAACCACGGCCCTGGCAGGCAGCTCCCACCCCCTCACCCCTCTGCTGAAGGCTCAGGGCTCAGGCTGTGAGGGCATGGAGCCATGGGGGAGGAGATTGGCTGGAGGGAGATGAGTTCACACACGTGTGCACGCCATCTCATACATGTGTAGACACTGGTGGACATGTGTACGTGCCACCAGGCACACGTGTGCACATCACACACATTCATGTACTGCCACATACATGTGCATGCCACACACATACACAACATCACATGTGAACAGACCATCAGACACACACACCACACTCAGGTCCAGACTGTGCACACAGGCTCCAGAGGTCTCCTCTGTGTCCTCCCATCCCCAGGAGACCCCGTGGTTGGTGGTCAAGGACGCTGGCCACGCTCCTGCCCCCACGGGGACCTCACGGCTCACTCTGTTCCAGGTGTTCTGGCAAGCCCCAGCCTTGTCCTCCTTCTGTCTCTCATCACGCAGTGCTCTGGCACCTCAGTCAAGGGCCACTCCCCGGGAGGGCTGGATGTCGGTGAAACTGACCTGCGAGCCAGGTGAGTGCTGGCCCCTCCTGCAGCTCTGAGTCTGCTTCTTGGCAGGGCCAGGGGAGGACAGAGGAGGGGTTAGTGGGGCAGCCATTGTGGTGGCGGACAGAGACTGTCCCCAGGGGCTGTACACCAGGGCTGTACCCACCTTGATCCCACGTGACCCAGTGTCCAGTGTCCAGTTTTGGAGCTGCGTGTGGGTCCCCAGGCCACCACCCAGATTGCACTGGGCCAGGCCTGCAGGTCGCCTCACCTGTCAGAGACCCTGACCTTAGCTCAGCCATGCAGGCCAGGATGGGCTCCCCAAGCCTCCCACCAGCTTTAGGCCTAGCTGCTTCTGCCCACTCCAGACAGAGGCCCTGTGGCCTCCTCCCACTGCCCAGGGTCTCATGGCTGGACTTGGCCCCCCTCCCCCACCCGGGGGGTTGGTGACATGGACAGGCCTATCAATCAATTCACCAGGGATCCATCAGGCAGGGC